TAGACGTCGCAGCTACACTGATGTCTAATGTTGTAGTTTTTGTAGCTGTTGTTGAATGAGGTGATGAGCTGCTTGTGACGGTGTTATCACTGTAAATTGTATCAGTTGAGGTCGTTTCTGTGGTGTCAATAATCATATTTGTTGTATTCTTAAAATGCGTCGATTCCCCAGTTTTCCCTGTTACTTGTGCCGAGGTCATTGCATTTGTAGAGTGCATGTCAGTTTGTATATTTTTCGTAGATGCTTTTAAACTTGTTGTACTTATAGGAGGAATATTGGATGCCGTTGGTCCATTACTTGGCATACTAATTTTGAATGTACTTGACAAATTTTGGTTTCCAGTAGATTCTGTAGGATTAGCGTTCGTTATCGTTGCAGGAGTGTGTGTAGTTAACGGTGTGGAAGAGGTTTGTGCCGATGTGATCCTGTTTGTAGTACTAGCCGTACTTAACTGTGCAGTACTATGTGAAGTATGGAAATGTGTAGTTTCATCAGTTTTGACTGTTACAGTTTTTTGAGGTTCGACTGTTGTAGATTCATGGACAGATGCATTTCCGTCAGTTTTGGCTGTTGTGGTTCCGTCAGTTTTGGCTGTTGTAGTTTCATCAGTTTTGGCTGTTGTAGTTTCATCCGTTTTAGTTGTTGTAGTTTCATCAGTTTTGGTTGATGTAATTTGATCAGTCATAATTTGCAATTTACTAGTTGTTGGATTGTCTGATGGTGGTGTGATGTGTGATGTTATTGATGTATGTGATGTCGTATGGCGTATCTCTATTGTTGTCTCATCTACAGTATGGGTGGTGAGCGTTGTTGTCGGGGATTCCGTTGAAGCCGGTGTTTGTATTGTTGTCTCATCTACAGTATGGGTGGTGAGCGTTGTTGTCGGGGATTCCGTTGAAGCCGGTGTTTGTGTTGTTGCCGTTGAGTTTGAGACGAGTAGAATACATAGCGTTATTTGACTTGTTATCATTACTGTAAAAAAAGAATATCACTACTTAAGAGAAAAGATTAATCAACTAGTATTTGCCATTATCTTATTTGTGGTTATCTATTGAAGGCGGCTGCAGCCATTTCTTCCCTCGACGCAGAGAAAACGAGCTCTCCCATTTTCCTTGCTTTCTCGCCTTCTCGACTCTTCTCCCGGTCTTTTTACTCGCTTTCTCGAGAGCAGCCGAGGGTAAATCTGACCGCAACCGGCTTCCATAGTTATCTTCTAGTTGCGAAAATGTAAGTGTAACAAGCATTTTCATCGAATACCTAGACCTACTGACCGCAGTATTATCCACGTCAGCATCAAAATAACAACATTTAGTTATACTAGATTTGGACTAAATGAGCATTATAATACAACAATACAACTTCTATAGCGGTAGACAAATAACAACATTGATTCTACAAACAAACTTCAATATCGGTAATTAATCCCAAAATCTGCCTCACAGCAAACAGATTCACCTATTCAATAAAAATCTTTCAATTTAAAAGTACATGTACAGGAAAAGAATACTTACAGTATGAAGTTCGCCAAGATGCCATTTGACACTGTTTTCTAATCATGAAGTTTGAAATAATAATAATAACATCTAACACAGACACTGTATTCAACTGAAATGAAAATATCTGGATTGTCTTATATCTACTTATATGTAATAACAGGGGAAAAACAGATACAATATAATTAAGTCTATCCTATCACAGTCTATGAATCGTTCATGTGTGGAAATACTCTTGGAGACTTTTAGTTTGTTTTCTATACACTTACCATACCTTTCCAGAGAAAAAAGATACAATACAATTCCATATATTTTGTTTCTGATAATGTCCTCCTTTCGTAAGAGCAAGTTAAAACACACCCCTTTCATGGTATCAAACAATCTTCGAATGCCACTTTCAAGATGTACATTATACAGTTTAAATGTTTAATTTTGTTCTAATAACGTTACCTTTGAAAACATGAAGATAGAAAAATAAATGAACTTATTTATTCATCGATACACCCTGAAATTACAATTTAGGCCAGTAATGTTTCATATCTGATGACAAAAATTATTTCCTGTTGAAGGCATGTTTGATGATTTTGATTTATTGGTCTGCAATATTCGAGGACCCATACATAGTCGATGGTTCTCATTTATTTCTCTATATATTCCCTTTCAAAGTTTACACACTTTGATCATCGGTGTTGCAAGGTCTGGATGCAGGTCATGAAAAGATTTTCTGTAGCCACCCCAGCAAAGTGATCCTCGAAGACCACAATTCAGTCGTAACAAAGCCTGTAGTGGTTTAATATGTGAAACCAATCATCCTATTTTTACTAATGTCAAGCTTTACAGAGATCTCATACCAAGTTTCAACAAGATCGTATAAAAATGTAGTCTCTATCAGGCCTACAAGCCAAATTAGATGCATTGAATTAATTCAAGGGCAATAACTCCAAAACCGTTCACCCGATTGTTACCAATTTCAACTTGACTGAGATCTTGTCCATATATAAATTTACATGCATACCAAGTTTCACCGAGATCAGATAAAAACTGCACCCTGCAGTATCATGACTACAAATTCAAACTTGACCGATATCTCATCAATATATACATGCATACTAAGTATCATCAAGATCAGATAAAAATTGCAGCCTGTATCGTACATACAAGACAAATTTAACACATTTTTACTAAGTCTATAGCCTGCCTAAAAGCCAAATTTTACTAAGTCAAGGGCAATAACCCTGAAATCGTTCATCCAATTATTACCAACTTCAAACTTGACCGATATCTCATCAATATATTCATGCATACTAAGTTTCATCAAGATGGTATCAAAATTGTAGTGTTCATTGGGCATACAAGGAAATTTAAACACAATTTTACAATGTCAAGGGCAATAACTATGAGAGCGATTATCCGATTATTACCAATTTCGAAGTTGACTGAGATCTCATCAATATATACATGCATACTAAGTTTTATCAAGATCGAATACAAATTGCAGCCTTTATCGTGCATACAAGTCAAATATAACGCGTTTTAACTAACTCAAGGGCAATAACTCCGAAACCATTCATCCGGTTATTACCAATTTCGAACTTGGCCGATATCTCATCAACATAGAAGTGCATACTAAGTTTCATCAAGATCGGATAAATATTGCAGCCTTTATGGTGCATATAAGCCAAATTTAACACATTTTTACTAAGTCAAGGGCAATAACTCTGAAACCGTTCATCCGATTATTACCAATTTCGAAGTTGACGGAGATCTCAACAATATATACATGGATACTAAGTTTCATCAAGATCAGATAAAAATGGCAGCCTTTATCGTGCATACAAGCCAAATTTAACGCGTTTTTACTAAGTCAAGGGCAATAACTCTGAAACCGTTCATCCGATTATTACCAATTTCAAACTTGACCGAGATCTCATCAATATATACATGCATAATAAGTTTCATCAAGATCAGATAAAAATTTCAGCCTGTATCGTGCATACAAGCCAAATTAAACGCGTTTTTACTACGTCAAGGGCAATAACTCTGAAACCGTTCATCCGATTATTACCAATTTCAAACTTGACCGAGATCTCATCAATATATACATGCATACTATGTTTAATCAAGATCAGATAAAAATTGCAGCCTCTTTCGTGCATACAAGCCAAATTTAACGCGCTTTTACTAAGTCAAGGGCAATAACTCTGAAACCGTTCATCCGATTATTACCAATTTCGAACTTGACCGAGATCTCATCAATATATACATGCATACTATGTTTCATCAAAATCAGATAAAAATTGCAGCCTCTTTCGTGCATACAAGCCAAATTTAACGCGTTTTTACTAAGTCAAGGGCAATAGCTCTGAAACCGTTCATCCGATTATTACCAATTTCGAACTTGACCGAGATGTTATCAATATGTACATGCAAACCAAGTTTCATCAAGATCAGATAAAAACTGTAGCCTCTATCGTGCATACAACAAACGTGGATTGACGGACGGACGGACCGACGGACACATCTGAAATGATGTAAGACAGATTTCGTGTATTACACGTATAATTCGGGTGGGTTAGAAGAAAACTTTAAGCCCATTTCATTCAAGGATTATTTTACAGGTATCAAACCGGAGATCACAATATTTTGACCTAATATTAATCTTGATAATATTAGACATCTTTTCAATTTACATTACAACTTATAGAATCTGTAGTATCCCCTGAAATGTCATTAACTCATTATGATACCATAATGGTTTTAAATTCCCAGCCATTTTTATACATAGGTTACATAGGTTATGGTTAGGTTTGGCTACTCTAAAATAAAGTTAAAGTTTTAAAGTTAAATTTGAATTCTTTTTGAAAACTGTTATTGACAAATCTTTTAATTTTGAAGAACAGTGATTGTTTTTACATCGGACGGCCTAACAAATCATTTGGAATAATTTGGAATGATTTGGAATGATTTTATCATCTGTGGTATGTTTTTATAAACATGATTATTTCCTATTGATTTCTACAGGTATAAGTAGATGATTTATGACTGTAAGCTGACAGTTGTTTAATTGTTTACTATTTCTATATTCATACAATCTTTATGATTCTTTTCTTTATATGGAATATCGTCATGACCTGCAATACTACTTTGGTTTCATTAATATGAGTGCATACAGTTCTTCTACTTTAATAACCAGAAATAGCTGTTTTGGCATGGACTTTTTCCCACTTGTTGAACAAGTTTAAACCTATATTATATATTTATTCTTGGTCTGTGCTTCAATTTCCAATTCATTATTTTTCAATTATCAAAAAGCTATATGTTTTTTTTATAAACTGATTTAAATAAAATGCAATTTGCAACGTTTTGAACTGATCTCTTGAGTCTATGCGTCTTGTTTTATTATCTAACTTGTCATCAGTCTGTGAAATAAAAGATTTTGTGGATTAAACAAAAGATGCAAAAAAACAAAACACAAAATGACTTAAAAAATGGTTAGCAAGGTCTGTCTCAGTTTGCTGAAGCATTCGATGCGTGTAGCTTCCGCGGGTGCCGATATTAGAGGTATATAGTAACAATTACTCCTCTAAATAACTCCACCACAACCAGTATAACCTCCTCAATCTTCTTATCTGATAACAGTCTAAACAATTAGTTATTATCTCAAGATAAACAAACATTGTAAGAGTCTGTGTATTTGTATCAGAATATCCATGGTGATGCTCTCAATATTGCACAATTTCTGTCATTACGTACGAAATGTTCCCAGACTCGTTCAGTAGGCGCGACGTAGTTTAAAGAGTTGCTAGGAATGGTTTTTGGACAAGGCCTCATCAAAGATTCCAATGTTCAATACAGAATATTTGGGAAAAGTAACAGACTGCTTATTCTAATTTCTAATCGGAACATATTTGTTTTCCGCCTAGCAGAGTCCTCCAATGTTCGTGGTACAAGTGCTTTTTCACTCTACAAAGTGGAAGAATGGCCTGTGTTCCCCTGGGAAATTTTGTGGCCTCTGCTCGGCCCCATGATGTACTGCATCATAGGCCTGTACATTTGAGAGATTCAAACCATCCCTTCTCCGAAATTTAAATAAAAATAAACAACTTGTCACGAATGAGCGCTTGACAGTTTTTATATCTACTAATTATATTACAAATAGATTAACTTGTATCTATGACTACAATTTCAGATATCTGAGTTGTCAAGGCACCATTATATTCTATATTTCCTGTCATAAACACTTTATAGTTGTTTCCGACCTTTCAAACATTAAACTGTAAGATTTACCATGTTTTGGGTCCTTGAAACCGTTTTGAGAGGCAGCATGCAATTAATAATTATTAAAAACGTTGTAAATTGAAAAGTGAAAAAATTTATAAAACTAAAATGCTTTTTACTTGTATTTATTTTAAAAAGAGGTAATTAACAAACGAATGGTGCTAATTGTTAATTGAGCATTTTAACTTGTTTTTGGTGTAAAGTTTTTAAACTGATCCTTTTTTTTTGTTGAAACCTTCTGAATTAGTAAGCGACATATTTCTTTACAATTTGGCGATATTCTTTTGCTTCAATCCCTACTTTATTTTTCCAAGACAAAACAAAATCATATCGACCTCTAAAAGGTTTACATTTCTCTAGATTTTGGTCTAGTTCAAAACAATTTGAGGACTTTCCGAATCTACATAAAACATTCTGACTCCTCCTTTAAATTTCCAGGAATATTATTACTAATGTTTTTGAAGTTAACTTTGAAAAACCCAAATCTTCATATTTTAAAATTACAAAAACATATTAGAGAATCGGGTATTGATACCTTCAATATTCGTTTGTCGACTTTTTAATAGTCTGAATCAAGTAATAATATTCCGACGTAATTGTTATTAAACCATTTCAGGAAATCTAACAGAACAAATTTTTGGCTGAATTTCAACTATCAATAACGTTTTAGTTTAAGTTTACAAGTTTTAATGATAACAGTGATCAATGTCAAAATATTTTGGTCTGAATAGTACTTTATGTTTTATGGTGAACAAAATGATAAAATGAATTAGAAAAGAAAACCTGATTGACGATATAATGCATATATGCATCATGGGTCATTCACTTTTTCAGTATGATTTTAAACACTAAGGCTTTATATTGTTATTTCTGTAATATATTGGCTAAGGATTTTTATAAAATGTCCAATCCATTGAAATTGAAACCTACCTTTACGAAGAATTCCAGCTATGTTCCTCTTAAAACCATCAAATAAAGTGAGATAAAAAATGTT